CATTTTAACACCCGTCAAGTCAATCCATAATTGCAATAGGAAATTCCAGGGGTGTGTCCTGCTGGGAAGCRGCCCCCGCTTGGGTGGTTGTGGTCCCCTGTGCTCAGCCTTGAGCCCGGCAGTGCAGCGCGAGCAGCGCGGCCTCAGCGTGGCCTGAGCTCCTGTCTCGCTGCAGAAGTTACCACCAAGTGCAGCAAGTCGTTACGTGCCTTGAGATCCTCGTGGGTCTTTGCCACTCATTATTTCTGTCATTTGAGTTGGTGCATGCCCTCGCTTTTGCCACAGGTTGACTCACGGGTTTGGATTTTGCCTTCGTAAAGCCCTTACTGAGTTACGGCTCAAGCTGAAGCAAAGGGGAAGGGCTAGGTAACACTGGGCACAACAGTAGGCATTGCTAGACCACAGAACATCTGGTTTGCGTTTAGTTTTGCTTAATGAACTCAGAAGCGTCCAAGGAAGAGGTGCAATCCCTGATTTTTGGAAGCAATGGCAGATTGCAGTAATAATGTAAGAGAGTGGTGACATATGTGGCATCATTGAGGGCGTGTGTCTATCAAAAGGCAGCGCAAACATTACGGTTTTGAATTGCTTCTCTTCCTTTTCCCTTCCAGCTCACCCTAAATTGTAAGCAGCAGGCAATTTTGTCTGTTTTACAGGAGATTTTTCAGCTGAACTGGATTTGAAGGAGCGATTGCAATATTTAGAGAACGTAGCATAAAAGCAGATGTGCAGCCTGTTGGGTGGGGGAACAAGTGAGTGGCAAAGTTGGCATCAGTAATAGAGTGAAGAGGCTAGTCGAGAGTTACGTGACTGCTCTGCCAGTTTGTGGATGTGTCAGTGTCAGAATAAGTACCAAAATGGTGTTATTGCCTATGGAATCTTCTTCCTGGAAGAAAATCCATTTCAATATAATATAAAATGTGAAACTTTTTTTTTTAAAGCAAAAACAAAACAAAAATTTAATTGAGATACATAAGGTGCTGTGTTAAATTTGGCGTGGAAGATAAGGTACTGTAGCCACCAAAAGAGTAGCAACTTTCCCATAATGACTTGGAACTTCCTATTGAAACAATGATTGTAATGCTTAACAAATATTTTAGATAAAATGAAACATATGACTTATTCAACCTTTATCTTGGCATTTTTACAGAACTTCGAAGTAATTTGAGGTCTTCAGTTTTTACTCTGCTTTGGAAAAAAACAAAATTTTGAATTTTTGATAATCCCTTGTAAGTTATGTCCTAAGCCCAACTTTAATCACTTTAAGATAGCTAAAGCCCAACTTTAAGATAGTTCTTCATATAAATTATGTAAAGCTTATATAATATATATATATATATATATTTTTTTTTTAGTGAAAGGACCACTTAAGAGAACCTCTTAYAGCAGTAATATGAAAGCCAACAAAGACTTGTCTGGTTACTGGCTTTAATGGATGGAGAACAAGGTACTGACTTGTTCTAGAAGCAGAGAAATGTATACTGTTGTTAATGCAAACTGCTGCAAATTCAATTGATGTAAAACACAAGAGTTTAATACTGGGTGGTGTTTAGTGCCCATTTTTTCTGTTGCTCCCGATGCCAGAGTAGGCCAAGACCAGAATAGATATATTTCAGGCAGAGGCCAGCAGGGTTGGATCTTATTTTATCCATGCTAAGTGGCGACATCATGCCCAAAAAAGTAGCCTTCCAGATAGCAGCATCTGTTTAGTTGTTCTCTTTTTCATTAACTTTTCAGTAGGTAAACCATGAAAGTTCAGTTATTTMCAAACAAACAAACAAACAAGGTTATCCTCTTTTGCGAGGACGTATTTGGATTTCTASAGCTTTTATAAAACCATCTCACGGCTGGAAACTCTCTTGCGTTTTGCACTGGAAAGACAAGTGGAAAAACTTCCTTGGCTCCTCAGATGGCTCGCTGTTTTCTTCCAGTAGYGGGACGCTCCTTACCTTCAGCTTACTTTGGCATAGTGCTGGTTAGTACTAAGTGCCTTCTTGTTCTCTCCCCTTTCAGTAACACCAAAAACCTTTACCTTATAAAACAGTCGTTTTCAGAGAGTTCTAGGGTATCGTGATGGAATCCTACTTTCAGATTTTAGGCCACCGCTTTCAGAAGAGTAGAAACAACTGTCTGTCCAGCCAATAATGCTAAAAGATGGAGAATACATTAACAGTGACAAACTTTGTTAGCACGATTGTTGAATTTGGGACATTAAAGCAATTATCAGATTCTGTAATACAGAGTTACCTAGATGAAATAGGGAAAGAGTATTCTAGGGACACCTTCTTCCCTGAAAACAGCACAAAGGCTGTTTGACTCTCCAAGCCATTTGGGTAGGTGCAAGGAGCTTTCAGGAGCAGCTAAGCGTGTCTGTTGTGGTGTTCTGCAGAAAGGAGCCTTTGTCCACAAGTATTTCGGTAGATCTTCAGGATGTGGTGAATTCCAATAATAGACTTGATTGCCACAAGCCACAGCTGCCTCTGTTCTAAGCCAAAGGGCCTGTGTGCTGCAGTAGACGTAGGAGTCCACTTGCGCCAGGGGATAAGAGCATTAATTTTTCTCTTTTGAAGCAGAATCCTTCTGTCAATTCTGCTGGGGGAAAAAAAAAGACAAGATATTATTTTCATAACCATTATAGCTCCAGAGGAGTTAATTTACGAGCCTATTTAGTTGATAAGTTGCTCCTCTTATGGAGCCTTTCTGTTTAATCTGAGTGTTGGAGTCCTACAGATTTCCAATTTCTGTTTTTTTTTTTTTGTTTTTTTTTTGAGGAATCCTCACAGGAAAACTCACTGTTAGTCAGCATGTTTGGT